CTTGTGTCCTTGTGTCACTCTGCGTTTTAATCATGAATTTTGTACCCATTTTGCAGCTGAGGACACATGGAGACATGCTCCCAGATAAAGGCACATGAGCCAGCATCACCGTGTCCTGGAGCCACCTTTCCCTCCATCTATGCAGTTTTAGGAGTGTTCTTTTCCTTGAAGTCCCCTAGCAGAGGCCACACGCTGCCATTTCCGCCGCCTTCACCTTCGGGGCTAAAGCTGGAGTCAGGATTCCTGAAGGATTATCTCATGCGAGGAGGTAAGGGGCCCATATGCACTTCCTGTCCACCCAGAATTTACAAGACAGGATCTAGCCACAGTTAAGAAAACAGGATGGTGCAAGAATGAGAGATGGAGGTGGGGAAGTGTGCGGAGCTGGCCGTGAGGGAGGAGTGTAGATCAGCTGAAAGGTGAGTGGCCTTGTGTGGAAGGATGGGAGCCAGGCAGGGAAGGCAGGCAGACCGGGCCAGGGAGTCTTTTGGGGTAACGGGGAACCTTTGAGGAGTAGGAAGTGAGGGAGAGGCTGACCCAGTTTGTGTGTGCGTAAGCTCTCAGTGGGATAGATGGATTCTATGAGCACAGGATAGGAGATAGGAGAACAGATGAGCCATAGAGGAGGCCGCTGCTGTCCTGGCCAGGCATCATGGTGCATAAGGATGAAGAGGAGGAGACACAGGCCAGAGATACCAGGCAGGTTTGGCCAGGAGCTGGGGGGCAGCAAGAGGGAGAGAGAGAGGGGTCTAGAAGCCCTGGTGGACATGACACATAAACATGACAGGTAAACCCTGGGAAACGCTGTTGGAGAGGTCATAGGAGAGCTAAACGTTTGGACCCATTGGGTTGGAGGTGTACAGATCTCAAGTTACCCCTGAGGCACCTGTAAGAGAATTCACAGATGGCTCCTTGCTGGATCATTCAGGGCAGAGAAAGAAAGCAGCCCAAGGACCCTGGGAATTTAGCAGAGTCACTGTGTCTTTTTCTTAAGGGTCACCTCAGGGCAGGCAGCCTGGGGGTAGGGGGAGGTGACAGATTGGTTGTAGACCATTGAATTGCTGGCAAAAATACTGGTGTTTTTCATTGGTGGATGTGAACGGTGGTGGTCACAGGCCCTTTGCTTAGTCACTTCTCAGCATATCTGGAGATAAGGAAGCTAAATTTCCTATCTGCGCCTCCACATCTGAGTTTAGTGTCCGGAAACACTGGAAGCAGGAGGGCTGAGGTGCTTTGGTTTTGTTTTATGATTCCTTTCCCTTTGATTACTCTTTTGATTTTAAAGTATGGACTTACTGTCTCAACAACAAAAGCATTTTCAAATATTTAATTTGTGCAATAGTAGATAGAATTTGCAGGGCTTGTCCTTGGCCACACTTCTCGTGTTTCTCTCTGACTGCCTCCTCACCCTTTGTACTTGTTCCTTCTCTCTCTCTCTCTCTCTCTCTCTCTCTCTCTCACCCTCTCCACCTAGAACTCTCCCCACAAAATCCCAAGTGCGGCTGTAGGGCAGACGACTCAGTGTCAGGATGAAGAGGTAGACTTTCCACACAGAGAGTCTACCTGGTCTTGACAAAACACCTCAAATTTATCACTATTTCTCTCTTGGACCCTTGAACAATTTTTCCAAAACATCTGTTCCCTTCCATGATTTCAGTGTCACAAACATTTCCATCTCAGTGTTCTGATGGCTTTTATGAGGTCGTGCTATGCTTTGGATCTAAAATGTCCCCAAGGTTCAAGTGTAGAAGGTTTGGTCCTCGATGCAGAAATGTTCAGAGGTGGGGCTTTGGGGGGTGACTGAATCATGAGAGCTCCGACCTCATCCATGGGTAAGTCCATTGATGTTTGGGTTCGTAATTCGATGGGCTGTGGGAAGGTGAGCCGTTAGGTTGTTGAAGGGAGCACATCCTCGAGCGCGTGCCCTTGTGGGGTGTGCATTCCTTAGTCACCCCATCCTTCCCATCCACGAGGTGAGCATCTTTGCTCCACCACCATGACGTCTCACCACAGGCCCAGATGCAAGGGACCCAAGTGACCACAGCCTGAAACGTTTGAAATGTGAGCCATAATAACCTTTCAATAACCCCCTTCAAGATGAATTTCTCGGCTGTTTTATCACAGTGAGGGCAAGCTGACTAGCACAGATAACAAGAATATTTTCCAAAGTATTTACGACTAGATGCCCAGGCCCTGGCTGTTGAGCACATAGGAGAGGAAGGCAGGCAGAATATTATGTCTGCTTGTCATGTTCTGCATATTTCAATTCTTTCTAAAGTTTTTCCCAAGGTGTGCGTCTTCCACTAGCATTTCAGAAAGACCTGGGAGTCATCCCCAGGTACTGTGAAATGTCTTGCACATTGAAGCTGCTTCTAGTTTAATTAACAACTTTAAATTGTTGTTACGGAGGACTATTCAAATTAAGAAAGTGTTTGCCAAATTACAGGCAGCCCTAGGTGTATTGGCAATATTGAAAACAAATCCTACGTAGAAAGTGAAGATGCATACATATAAACATATGTCAGCCTTTCCTGTTTGGGGTTCTTTAGAATTATTAGCCTGCAGGTGTGTGTGAGGTTCAAAGTTACTGCTGAGAGATGCCACCTAGTGGTACCTGGAGCTCCCTGGTAGGTCAACTCAACTAACACCTTGTATTGCTGTTACTTAAAATTATTTCTTAAAAGTAGAACCAAAAACACTGGTTAAGGAACAGCAGATGTCCCAATTAGGAATTAAATTTGGAGGATTAAGATGTAAACTTTAAATCCGCTATGGCGGAAAATAGGAAAAACAACAGTAGCAGGTGAACGCTCAGTGCAGTCCCTCCACCCACCCTCCTGTTCACTCATCAGCTACTTAGGGAGCCCCTGCCTTGCAACCAGGCTCCATGAGAGGCTCTGGAAATGGTAAACCCTGGCGATCTGCCGTGCTTTCTGAGTGTGGCCACCGAGCCGCAAAATCACAGGCATCCTCACCACATCACTCTTGGGTTTTTTTATCCTTACTTTTTCAGATAAGAAATATGGAACTTGGAGAGGTGACATGCATAGATAGTTACGAAACCTCCAGAACAGATTCAGAGCTAGGGAGCTCTGAGCCCAGTATCTGTGGAAAGTCCACTATGTGTGCTGAGAGTAAGAGCCATGGTGAAAATGCTTCTGGAGTACATGCAGTTTCTGCTCTTTGTCTGTCTACCCTCTCTTCCTTCCCTTGGTGAAGTCAGAGGGAAGAAGACACTTCTAAGTGCAGTAAAGTTTGTCCCAGTCGTTTAGCTGTCAGCCTGGCCTGGAGAAACTGGGTCAATTAGGGGTAGGAAATGTGAATAGCTACATCAAGAGTTTTAATCATCAGAAAAGAAATAATCCACCTATCTTGGAAGATTCTTGGAGACATATGAGGTTGGGCGCATTACACCAAAGACCAACATGTAGGACTTCTTATTGCAAAGTACACACTTAAGAGCACAGACACCTTTCCTACTGAAGGATGTTTGTCGCTGAGCCTTGATCCATCGCTCCATCCAGTGCAAGGACACATCTATACAACACATAGATGCTGAGTTTTAAATGAACCCCCTTTCCACTGTTCTCGAGATCGTTTTCTCCAGCAGGCAATCTTGTATTTCCTTGAGGATAGTCTCCTTAGTTAAACATGATTACTTTCTGCAGCCTCCAAAGCAGAATGAAACACAGAAGGGCCATGTATCCTGGCAGAACTGGGGTTTTAATTGGGTGGGGTTCTTCCCGGATCCAATGGAAGTCCACGGTATCATTCTCTGGGATGGCATGTAACACATTATTTAGTAATTCTTACTTTATTCTCTTGGTTTTCTCCTTAAGGGAACACATGCTTCATTTTTTATCAGGAGTATTGCAGCTATACTATAAGTCCAGAGCCAGGACCAGCTTGCTAAGCTGCAGTTGACCACTTTAAAAACAATTCTAGCAGTATTTGGCACTTGTTATCATACAAGATCACACCAAACACGCTCTGCTCTGCTGTGAGTGGTCTCCAGTTTAGAAGAAAGGTGAAACACACCCATATGCTCGGCTGTGTGTAAGCAAACTGGACCTGACATGGGCAAAGAGCCACGATCCTAAGCGGATCAGCTGCACCTGGCCAGAGGGTACAACTGCTTCCCAGAGGCCCTGGACAGTTGGTCCTGATAGAGGCAGGGCTCCCTTCTCCCTATTTTATTATTATTTTTGCAGTGCTGGGGATTGAACGTAGGGCCTTGCACATGTTAGGTAAGTGCTTTTACACTGAACTGCACTCCTAGTCCTCCATCTTTCTTTCTCCTTGCCTGGCCCCTTTGAGATCCTCCCTGAGGCCTTTTAACACCTGGCCCAAGCTTTGTCTGCAGATGCTGGCTTTCTGGCTCTCCCTGGGGTGACACTCACAGGCTGTCCTGAGCACCTCCATGCTCTTAAATAGCTGTTCCTTGTCATGAAATTCACAAGCTGTGGTCAGTAGCCCTTTGGGACCTTTGATTCTAACATAATGCCTGGTACTGAACCCTGAATGGAATCAATACCTATTCTTTGCAAACCATGAATATTCATTTGACGTAAAGAAATACTTTTTAAAAAGAGGGTTTGTAGTAGAACAGGGAAGGAGGAAATAAAGGGGGAATACAAACTCTTATTTAACTCAGTCACAGGTTTATTGCTATGCACATCTTGTAGGTTGAATCTTGCTGTGGTTTGTTAAGGAAATGTTACCTAAATTCAAAGGTAAACAGCGACAAGCGGCAGGCAAGGTCAGCCAAGCAGCTCAAATCTTGGAGGGGCAGACAACTGGTATGTCCCTTGAATTTTTCTTAGAAGAAATAAGGTAAGACTGCTGTTGGAACAACCTCAAGAGTTCTGGAGTCTGGAGAAAGCAGAATTGTGGAGAATCAGTCCCTGAAATTCCCAGGAGAAAGAGGCCTTTGAGGAGGGGGAACAAAGGGAGGTCTTGGCCTGGGGGAAGGTGAAAGTGAGATGAATCTGACAGCACTGGCTGGCTCTTAGGCAAACAAGGTGGCTGGTACTGTCAGCGAAATTTACAGCTTTACTAAAAGAGGCATTCCCCCCATACACCCCAAGAGATATCCTGAGGCATAAGCCAGGCCCTGGAACCTTCAGTGCTGGATTCTGGTCTTTGTGTTGGGTTTAATCTGCCTCCCCGTCCCAAAAAGGCAACAAGCAGGCTGCTGGGAAGACCTGCCAGGAAGGACAGAAGCAATGGGTCCTTTACCAGACTGTTTGCTGAACAAATACATGACAATCTTGCAAATGGGATGGGAGGACCCTCAAAACCTGGAGCGCTCGGGAGTGTTCCCTCTCATGTTTTATTGCACCCATTCGCTTATATTGTGCCTGTATTTAAAAAGAAAATGAGGTAAAGGACTGTACAATGTGTACCTAGAGAAATACGGCCCTGGGAGGGCCCGCCTCTATTTTAATGTCACCAGTGTGTGCCATAGGAAGTGTCGGCGATAGGTAGGGAAGTGGACATAACATTATCTCCTGGGGGAGGAGCCGAAAGCGCGACACCGAAGCCGGCTCGGGAAATCTCGGGGTGCTCTGGGAGTTAGGCGGGAGGCGCCCCGCACCTGCAGTCTTTGCTTCCGGCCCGCAGGAACTCTCACTGCACGGTTGTGGCGGAGTCCAGTCCAGTTTACCGAAAAGATTCCTGCGACGACATTCGGCCTCCAGCAGCCACTGGGGCGTCACGCAGTGCACCCAGTGGTCCCAGGTGAGGCTTCCTCGCAGGTGACCAGCACTTCCCGGGGAGGTAGAGCGCATGCAAAGTTCCTCTCGCCCGGGGCTGCGCGTCCGTCCCCGCGGGGCTCTTCCCGCGGCTCCCCGCGCGCTGGCGCAGCTCGCGTCTCCAGACGCTGCGTTTCACCCGCGCGTCTCCTGCGTCCCCAGGCAGCCGGGGCAGGGGCGCAGCCGTGGCGCTCGGACCCCTGCGCGGGCTTCTGCACCAAGCGGTGCGGGGCCTGGGCTAAGCGGGCCCGCGGCGACCCCAGTGTGTCCCGGGAGCAGGAGTGGCGCAGGGCCCGCGGCTGCCAGCCGCCCGGGCGGTGACATTCAGGCTCCTGGGCGCAGAACCGGAGCGGGCCTGGCGAGTGGGGGCTCGGAGCGCGGTCGGGAGTCTCTATGGTCCCCCGGAGGGCGTCTGGAGCCCGGAGGGGACGGCGACGCCGGGGTGGTGGTGGTGGTGGTGGTGGTGGGGGTGGTGGAAACTGCCCCTCCCGCAGGGCGAGGCCCTAGCGCCGCCGCCTGGGAACCGCGCACCGGCTGCGCGGCGGCGCGCGCGCCCGAGATGGGGTGGGGGGGCGGCGGGGTGGGGGCCAGATCGCAGCCGATGGGTGGTGGCGCAGCGTTTGGGGGCGGGGTCAGGCAGGGAGGTAACCAATGAGGGATGGCAGAGCGCGCGGGGGCGGTGCCGGCGGCGGGCGGCGGCAGCGGGAGCCGGCGCGGCAGACGGAGCCGGGCAGCCGAGGACGCAGCGCAGCCCCGCCGCCCGCGCAGGCGACAGCTCCAGCCCGCCGGCGGTGCGGCCGCCCCCGGCCCGAGCGCGGTGCGCGGGTCCGGGCGGATGGGCAGCGGCGGGCGGCGAGGTGGCGGCCCCAGGACGCGCCGCCCTGTGCGCGCGGGCCGTAGCAGGTCCCGGCGGACACAGCAGCTCTAAGGTGCGTGTCGGGGACGCACGGGCGCGGGGGGCCCTGTCCCGGAGGAGCGGGGCTGCCCGGGACCCCCTGGGCTGGCGGGTCGCGGGGTGCGGTTTGCGGAGACGCTGGGCCCCCAGTCCCCAGGTGGAAGCGGAGCGGCCGCTCGTCCCCAAGTTACGGATTGGAGGAGGGGTTGCCACCACAGTGGGGACACGGGCGCCGAGGCGGACCTCGCGCTGCCCAGAACTCCGTGTGGCCAGCCGCGGGGAGGCGCGCCGGCCCCGGCGGGGGACGCGCTCAACTTGCGGGGCTCGGTCCCCGAGGGACGCGCCCGAGGCTCGCCGGCCCGCGGCTCCTTTGTAAGCGCGAGCCCGCGGCCGCCCGCGCCCGGTCGGTCCTGCGCTCCGGGGCCCCGCGTCGCGTCTCCAAGGGTCGTCCACCACCGCGACCCGGGATGTCCCCGGGAGCACCCGCAGATTAATTTCAGTCGTGCCACAAACCCGGAGAATCAATTTGGGCTCATCATCCAAGAGCGAGAGCTGAGAACAACTTAGATCACCCCTCTGGGAGGCATTTGTCATCATTAACCTGCTTCGGTTAAATTAATTCAGCCCAGGATGACTCCAGCCCGATCACGGGAATTGTGTTCCACCGAAACATGATTTTTGGTCAAAATAAAATTGTAAACATTTGGATTTTACTTAGAATTTGACCTGGTTTGGGCAAGGATGGCTTTAGAAAAGAGAAGAAGAAAAGCGAACCAAACCAACTAAACAAACAAGTAAACAAAACAACAAAGAATCTTGGTCATTCTCCTGGGTTTGCTCAGTAAGTTCAAAATAGTCTTACAAATTTTTCTTTTCTTTGCCTCTTTTGTCTGCAGTTTTCACTTCTAAACTTTAACACTAGATGGCTTTCTTCTGACGGGCACTTAGTAAACTGCCTCTGTGAGTTGCCTGTCTGCAATCGAGGTTGCGATTTTTGTAGTCTTACAAATAACGATGGAGGGAAGAAAAATCTCCTCAAATTGTTCCTTTGACATATATATTACTTCCCGGGAGCAAGCGTTCCTGAGTCTTGAGCACACACAGCACTGATTGTCCCTGAAGGTGGCATTGGGGAAGAGCTGTAGTTGGAGTGTCTGAATCATCCCAAGGGCCTCGTTTCCTTCTCCCTTTCTAAGCACAGCCCCTTTGTGACAGGGACAATCCCTGTGGTTGACGGATGCAGCAGCAGCAGCTCCTGCTCATGTGCTTAAGTACTTTTATTCTACAGCAAGACGGTGGAAGCCTGTCTAAATTCTGCCTAGGTTGGCACACTCTTTGCTAAGCTGGAGGAATGTCTTGAAATTATCTTTACAGCTGTCATTTATTGTGGGCCTTGGTCAACTTTAAATTTGATGGGGTGAATTTGCTTATTCCAAATGAGAGGGTATTCATAAATAGCTGGAGGAAAAAAAACCCAAGGGGACCAAGATCTGGGAGGTGGGGAATGAAATGAAATCAGAGACAGCTTTGGTCAGTACCTGTGTGCTACCTATAGGTGGGGTGAGGTGAACTTGGATGAGAAGCAGCCTGGGCATTTGGTCCAGGACATAAAGGGAGAGATACGGCACAGGTACTTGTATATGGGGGTGGGGGTTGTCTTTGTAGTGGGGGCTCTGATTCTCTGCAGTTGGCTTAAGTGTGCATTTTTCACAGAAATGATTACAGTATATCGAAATGTTAGACTCTCTCAGAGCAGTAATTCTCTGACATGTAACTTGTAGTGCGATAGGGGAACTGTCAGGTCATCATGGTTTGCATCTGTGATGCTTACTGTCATTAAAGCTATGGAATAGGCGTTTGCCCTCCCAGATGGAGTGGTCTTTTGAAGGGTTGCTTGATACCTGAGGTTAGTCAACACTTGTCCACACCTTGGGGATCTTTTTGCCTGAGGCAATAGAGGAGATTGGTTACTGACTTTGAAAATCTATTTCTGAACGTTGGGAAATACTAGTAAACTGCCCTGAGAGCGCAATTATTTGGTAATTGAATCTGGCTTAAAAGTGCTGTGTTTGGACATCAAAAACTAGTGTAGAAGGGGTTGCGTTTGCTGCACCTCAAAAAGAACTATGTGTTTACTACACAGATACAGCCCCAACCCAGCCCACTCAGGCCTTATTGTTATTTTTTGAGATCAAGGAAGAATTGACTCTGAACTTCTGGTGGGCTTTTGGTGGTTTAAGATTAGAATCTTTACAAAGACATGAAGAAGGATTTGAAGAACATTTAGACTTTTGGTTAACTGAAAAACTAAGTTTTTCTGTTTTGAAGTTGAATGAGCTATGAAGTAGAGGTCTGAAGGAGTCTGGGTTCTCTTCTGCTGCTGCTGTGCCCTTTTCGCTTTGTGGCTGAGTAGAAAGGGCACCAGGCCAGGGTAGGAACCTTCAGTCTTCACTCTACCGCCAGTCACAGGAGACTTGGATAAAGTATTTCCAGGATCCTTTTCTGCCCCCAAACTTAGGTTTCCTTCCTGCTTAAAATAAATGTAATGGAGAAATGAAAATGTCTGTCTGACTGGGATGGTTTCTATTTTCCATGACTGTGTCTTTTTTTGGCCTCGGCCTGTGGTAAGTTTGTGTGTGAACCCCCTGAGGGTTATGGTTGCTTGGTTTACCTTGAGATCAATGATGCTGAAATTGCTTTTTTGTTCCAATTGTATTTAGCTGTGACCCCTTTTAAAGGAAAAGTAATAATGCCGTAGGAATTTAAATGCCTCGAAACTCCCAGGAAACCATTTTGATCTTTTCTGAACCTGATTCATAAACTTTTTTCCCAAAGAGCAGCAGTAGTCACAAAGGCCAGATCTGGCTGCTTTAGGGCTTCTTTGCTGAGATTTCATATTTAGTGTTAACAAGCCTGTGATACATTTCCTGTGCAGTACTGTATCCAGTGAGGGATAGTAGGAAACAGAGATGCAGTATGTTGAGTGTCATTGTCCTAGCATCTTTGGGCCAGAAAGGACCTTGGAGGTCATTCCTTCTTGTTTTTATATATTTGTTTCCATTGCTGTAAAATTAAAAAACAAAACAAAAGCAAATTTTAGGGATTGTCAGATTTGTGGGCATATATATCATAAATTATACAAATATAAATAAGTATATTAAATAAACAATACCCATTACTGTCTATTACCAATACATGTCATCAAGATACATTGAAACACCAAAAAGGTGTGTGGGGGCGGACGGGGGGGAGGGGACGGGGTGTTTATGCTTTGAGATTGAGGAGAGATCTTCCCACCTGGAGACGACGCTTGTGGACATTACCCATGCTTGGACCCACCCAAACACAGACACAGTGAAAATATCACCAAGGACTGGGGCCTAGAAACCACTGAGCAGTCCTGCTCACCCTTCCCTGCATGAAATCTCTACAGCTGGTCCAGGAACCTGAACAAGGCCAGGAAGGGCTGGCTCTACCTTTTGGGTGGTTTTCACTACTAGGAGGTACTTTGACCTGTAGGATTGAAATGTCACATGGCCTCTTTAGTCAGAATAAATCCTTCTAGAGAAGTATCTCACACCTGGAACACTACTTGTCAAAGTTGGCCCAAAACCCAGTGGACCTCCTGTCTGCTGCTTCCCAGGCCCCTGTCCTGCTCTCCATCCTGCAGCTCTTCTCAGTGGCTTTCCTGTTTGGAACCCTGGAGCCCTGTCCTTCCAGCGCCTGGCATTCTGCTCTGCTTCCACTTAGCTGCTTCTTCCCATGGTGCTTTCTGGAATTTGATTTTTATTACTTAGCACTTTGCCACATTTGGTTATCTTTGTGCCTTTCCTACGCCACTGGTAGATTTGCTGAGCCAACTGAGCACCAGGAATTGTGTCCCCTTAAGCAGGGGGCTGCCCTCTGGGTTTCCTTGGAGCCCTACCCTTGATTACAGTCAAGCACTAATGCACTTCATTCTCTGTAACCCGCCAGTCCAGTCTCTCACCTCTCCCTACCTTTGCACACGGTATTGTGAAAGAGCATGCCTGACCTGCTAGGCAGGTTCTGCTGACCAGTTACTCCAAGTAAGAAATGAGTCCACTTTTAGC